AAATTAGCCGAGCATGGTGACACACTCCTATAGTCCCAGCTACTTGGGAGACTGAGGCTGGAGGATCAGCTGAGTTCAGGAGGTTGAGGCTGTGGTAAGCTGTGATCATGCCACTGCACTTCACCTGGGCAACAGGGTAAGACCCCAACTCAAAAAAAAAAACAGTGGGAGGAAATAATGGTAAGTTTATATTTTGATGGAAATGATCCAGTAGAGAGTGAAAATATGACATTATAAGAAAAAGAGAATAGAATAATTAGAGTGCTATTCTGGCATAGATGAGACAGGATGGCATCAAGCATCCCAGCAGAGGAGTTTCATTGAGAAAGAAACATGGATCGTCTATGGTAACAGACAGGCAAGCAGGCAGAGTATGTGGGTGTTGATGCTGGTGGTAGCTGGCAGTAGGAGTCTCCGGAAGCTTGTTTGGAGAGGGGGTTGTTTTTGTTTTTGTTTTTTTAAGAGATGAGGTCTAACCATGTTGCCCAGGCTGGAATGCAATGGCTATTCACAGGTGTGATTATAGCATACTACAACCTCGAACTCCTGGGCACAAGCAATTCTCCTCCCTCAGTCTCTGGAGTAGATGGGACTACACGCATGCACCACCACAGTCAGTGATTTTCTTATTATTTCAGTTTCCTAGGTAGAGTCGGAAGCAAGGTCATCAACTAAAAGTGAGGATAGGGAGGAGGGTTTGGGGTTTGGGGGGTTAGGAAGACATGAGAAAGTGTTAAAATGGTCATCTAGGTGAGTAAAAGTATGAATGAACTTAGAACAGATAGTGAGAGTGCCTGGCAGTATTCAAGGTCCTCTTGAGGTTCACAGTCATAAATTTAAAGTAGGGCTAGGCAGCAAAGTTGTGGGTTTTGTTCCATCTATACACAGATACATGGATGTGGGCACAGAGTAGGGAGAGAGTTGGATTTAAACAAGATTGTGTTTTTGCAAGAAAGGCAGGGAGATACAGGGGAATGCTTATAATTATCACCCACAGAATTTAAGGTGGGTAAGAAGATGTATGGGAAAAGTTGAGGGATCAACAGATTGGAGGTACTGCCTGGGTCAAAGAACTGTTTGGGTAGGGATTCTAGGGGGAGTGAGCTTGGACAGATAGGCAACAGTGGTCAGAAGGTGAAATGTTTAAGACAGAGAGTATGGGAGGAATGAAATTTTGATAATGATAAGGTATAGGGAAGTTTCTCAATCTCAGCATACTGATATTTTGGACCAGATAATCCCTTGTGGTCAGTGGCTGTCCTGTGCATTTGTAGTATGTTTAGCATAATCCAGGGCCTCTCCTCACTCACTAGATGCCAATGATACCAGCCCTCCAGGTGTGGCAATCAAAAATGTCTCCAGGGCTGGGCACAGTGGCTCATGCCTATAATCCCAGCACTTTGGAAGGCCAAGATGAGAGGACTGCCTGAGCCCAGGAGTTTGAGACCAGCTTGGACAACATGGCAAGAACTTGTCTCTAAAATAAACTTAAAAAGTAGCCAGTTGTGGTGGCATGCACCTGTACTTCCAGCTACCTGCAAGGCTGAGATGGAAGGATTGCTTGAGCCCGGCAAATCAAGGTTACAGTAGCTGTGACCGTGACAGTGCACTCCAGCCTGGGTAACAGAGTGAGACTCTGGCTCAAAAACAAACAAACAAACAAACAAACAAACAGGCAACAGTGGTCAGAAGGTGAAATGTTTAAGACGGAGAGTATGGGAGGAATGAAAAATGTCTTCAGACATTGCAAAATCAACCACCCCCTCTCCAGTTGAGAACTACTGATCTAGGGTATGACCAAGTGTTAGAGATCATTGGACAAGAGAACTGAGAGTCAAGGGAACTGGAAGAATCATCTATGACTACGTTGCAATTGCTAAGAATTAAGACAGGAGTAGTGCTAGAGAGAGTGACAGTGAACAGGAACCATAGCAGTCAAAAAAGGAAACAAATGTCAGTAGATGACAACAATTAAAAGGAGTGGGAGACATAATCTGATGACAAGACTCAAAGCTGATGATACATCAGCTTTACAATAGTGGTAAAGCTGGTATGAGAACTGAGGCTTCTCTCCTAGGGCTTTCTTAAATGTCTAGAAGGTGGGCAGACACTTCCACATGATTTCATGTTCAATTAAATTAGACTCACAGAGTCAAAAATAGGGGTCATTCAAAAACAATTGGCACCATTTCTGACTGCCATATATAACAAACAGCTGAAGGCACATATTTTTGGCTGAATACCATCCTAAAAATAGGACATAACATCTTGGTATTTTAAAAAAAACTCAGTTTTTTTCTGGCCCTTAAAAGTTCTACACTGCCTTTGATTAGAAAATAAATGTGTTTTCTTAAACGATTGCATTTATCTGTTTCCTACAGAGCAATCATAACTAACATTTTCCTTAGATAGCCAATCAACTTTATCTTCACATAGTCTAACCATCAAGGAGAACAAAAAGACCTTAATATAAAATGGACTCATTTCAACGTTCTCCAACTGTGCATCACCTGCTCCTCTCACCACCACCTGGAAAGACATCATCTAACTACACTGCAAGCAGATTTAGAGCAAATGCCCAATTTTCAACCCCGCCTCCTAAAAGCATATTAAGATGTGCCCCCTTTTTAGGAGAAGCAACTTCAAGATAGGAAATTCAGACCATACTGTTATTTATTAGGTTCTCCCAAATGCACTCTCATTGCAATAATTAAGTCTTTAGGTCACAAGGAAGTTAGGTTCACTGAACCTCACAAGTCCATCTTCAGAATTCTATCTTGTTATGGTTATGCTGAATTCAAATTTTAGAATACGTAAACATGAAGCACAAAGATGGTGTCAAGGAAACACATGATGCTATCATCCAAGTCCTGTTCAACTTTGCAGATTATCAAATCTCATATTTAAAATTTACATAAAACAAGGGTGAAATCCTCTCACTTCAAGTCCCAAAATAGAAACTTGTCAAACTCACTAATGATATAATAATTCTTTACAAAGTGCTGTTACGATGACTAAGGTATTTTTATATATCATTTCTAAACTAGATGCTTTCCTGTTAGGAAAAGGAGTCAAGATTTTCAGAGTGAGAACCAGCACTTAAATATCAGTTTTGTCACATATTAGTTGTGCTATGTTACTTAAATTATCTGGTTTCATTTTCTCATTTGTTAAATGGGGATAATACTAATATAACATTGCTGTAAGAAAGAAGTTCCTATAATATGAAGAGCATAGTTCTAGCACATAATACTTGTTAGATAAATGAACAGGAGTCCTCTTAATTTGTTGTTAAAACAAACAAAACAAGCTTCAGAAAAAGGAAATAAGATAACCTCATGGTTAGGCTTCTTCTCTTCTGGAAACATCACCAAAATATTCTGATTTTGTTATAACATCATAAATTTGGGTTTACAGCTATTTTAGTCTTTATTATAACGATCACACAAATGAACACAAAGAGCAGGTGCCTACCTTCCAAACTTTCCTGTTCATCTGAAGTATAAGCATCCATCTGACTTTGTTCCCGTAAGAAACGAATAACTGCATAAACTAGGTGCTTGATAGATGCCATTTTAGAAGCGTAAACTCTTTTCCTTGATAAGGAAAATGAAAACACTGAGCTAAGTTATTTAAAAGAACTTAGTCAGAAAAGTTATAAATTACAAAGGTAATAAATAACAAGGGTTAAAAATTACATTAAAAGCAAAAAACAGAACCCTACATGACCTTCCACCACTTCTCTTTTTAAAGAGTCAGAAGAGCACAAAGTGTTGTTATGGTAATTTATTACATCTTTTCATTTATACTCAGTTTTATTAGACTACGTTAAATAAAAAATGTTTTTCAAAACATGTATACCATAAGCTTAGACTCTCACTTAATATCTCACTATTCAGAAATCCCCTAAAGGCCTCAGTGCTAACTTGAGAGAGGTTCCATACTGCTGACTCGGAGCTGATCTCCACCTAGCATCCTCCTCTATTTCACGAGGTTTTTAAAAATGAATTAATAACCTCCACTCCACCTACTTCTGTGATGCGGAAACGCATCCACAAAAGGTTGTTCAACTGCTGACTGTCGTTCTTAATAAAAATGGCATTTCTAATGTCACCAACTGACACGTCAGGAAAACATTGCCCAGGTCGATGGATGGATACTACACACCGACCGGCGCTCCCTGCAGCAGCTGTGCTCTCGTGGACAAGCTGGAAGCTCCGGGTCACGTTCATTCACAGGAAATACTATCGCAACCAAACAGTGGCGCAGGGCCAGCCAGCATTAACGGCTTCTTTCCACTAAATCGCATCATCCATCTGCTCCCCAGGTTCCCTCATTCAAAGACAGGGTGTGGTGGCGCCGCCAGACTGTTTATCAGCCAGGCACTCATTTGAACGGCGATCTCAGCCCCTAGGCCATGGAGTTGCAAGCGCGAAACAAGGCCCCTGGGTAGAAGGTGAAAACAGAACGAGGGGAGAAGGGGCGCGGAGGGGACAGGGGGCATCCGACCTCCTCGAGGCTGCGCTCCCCCCTCCCTCCCATCCTCCCCCCGGTACCCGGGCCTCGCTCGCTCGGCCCCGACGGCGTTTGCAGCCGGAGCGCGGTGCAGGCCTCCGTCCGGGGCGGCGGGAGGCGCCCCTTTCCCGGACAGAAGCCCCTTACCCGGCAGCAGGACGCGAGAGGACGGCTGCGGGCCCACGGGCGTCCGAGAGGCGGTCCCCGCGACCCCTAGGCCTCAGGGCTTGAGCCTGGCTCCAGATCGCAGCTCA